TGTTCTATCTAGTTATTCATGTCCGATTAGGTTTGGTCGTAAATAAGTAAAATGCTTTGACTGTAGGAAAAATCAATGTATTTGCAGACTGCTTTACTCATCTTCTGTTAAAGGCCAAGAAACATTAACGTTTTGCTTATTTTACCTACAAAATATTATGATGGATTTGTTTCCTAACTGGGAAAAAAGATTGTGATTGTAAACTGAAAATACCATAAGGTGGACGTGACAATAATTCGTTTCACCGTCCTTCCTAATACAATATTAACATTACTTTTGGGTTAGGTAGGATATAAATGTTGGTGGGTTGGCCAGCAGAATAATGCCTAAACCGTATTTGTGGCCCGTAAGTAATGAAAGGTTGCCCATGCCTGCTCTAAGGTTTTGTATCTCTCTGGGGCCCAGTTTATAATGTTATTCGTCCATCTCAGTCTCTGCCTTCCCCTGGCCTCCTACCCTCAACTTTATCCATTAATATTTCTGTTATTATCCCTCATTATATGACCATGATCTGACTAACTTTCTGCCTCATTTACACATAATGGCAGGGTCTCAATTGTTTCTCTTACTTTGACAATACAACATAGGTCAAATAAGAATAAGCCAAGGTGGATGACCAGAAAACTTAAACATGACATAGGAATAAAGAAAGCAATATATAAGAAATTAAAGGGAGGGGAGGAGCAGCTCAGAAATAGGTATAATGAACTATCTAGGAATGTTATGAAAAATGTAAGGAAAGCAAAGAGAGACTATGAAATCGAAATAGCAAGAGAATCCAAGGCGAATCCCAAAGAATTTCTCCAGGTATATAGGACAAAGGTCAAGGACAAAGTTGGGCCTTTAAAGTCAAGGAGGGGAGAAGTGATAAATGGCAGTGTAGAAATAAGCAAAGCATTGAACAGCTACTTCTTATCAGTTTTCACAGAAGAAATTTGAGATGAAATTCCAGAGGTGGAACTGATATTTAAGGGAAAGGAAGAAGAGAAATTAAAGAATATCACTATCAGAAAAGAGGATGTTCTTAAGAAGATAAATAAACTAAAGAAAACAAAATCCCCAGGGCCGGATGAAATTTTCCCTCGAGTCTTGAAAGAGTGTAGGGAACAGATTAGCGGACCCCTCACTTATTTACAAAATCATTAGACACTGGAGTTGTGCCAGACTTGTGGAAACAGGCAAATGTAGTACCCATATTCAAAAAGGGAGACAGAGCATCAGCGTCAAATTACCGGCCGATCAGTTTGACGTCAGTAGTGGGGAAATTTCTTGAATCAATTATAGCAGATAGCATCCGATCGCATCTAGAGAAAAGCAAATTAATCTAACGACTCTCAACATGGGTTTACAAAGGGAAAATCTTGTCTAACAAATCTGCTAACGTTTTTCAGGAAAGTCTTCGAGGTAGTAGATAATGACGAAAATTACGATGTTATTTACTTAGACTTTAGCAAAGCATTTGACAGAGTACCGCATCAGAGGCTTCTGAGAAAAATTAAGGCTCATGGTATCGAGGGGAAAGTTTTAAATTGGATAAAATCATGGCTCACCGATAGAACGCAGAGGGTCAGCATAGATGGTGTTAAATCTGAGTGGGGCCGTGTAACCAGTGGGGTTCCCCAGGGATCAGTACTAGGCCCACTCTTGTTCATAATCTACATAAACGATCTAGATACTGGGATCAGCAGTGACATAAGCAAGTTTGCGGATGACACCAAAATAGGGCGGCAAATTAATTCAGGGCAGGATGCAAATGCATTACAGGAGGATCTAAATGAACTGCAGGGGTGGTCTGAAAAATGGCAAATGAAATTCAACACCAGCAAGTGCAGCGTACTTAATATTGGAAGAACAAATACTTATAATGTATACAGCCTTAACAACATCAACCTAGAGAAGTCGACTTGTGAAAGAGACCTAGGGGTACTTGTAAGCCCGGACCTACGGCCTAGAAAACAGTGCGTTAATGTTCGAAATAAGGCAAACAGAGTATTGGGTTCTATATCTAGAAGTGTAAGTAACAAGAGTGCAGAGGTCTTATTGCAACTATATCTTGCGCTAGTCAGGCCGCACCTCGATTATGCGGTTCAGTTCTGGTGCCCCTATTATAGAATGGATATAAATTCACTAGAGTCGGTGCAGCGAAGAATGACAAAAATGATTCCGGGACTTAGAAACCTTCCATATCAGGATAGGTTAAAGAAACTTAACTTGCATTCCCTAGAAAGGCGAAGAGTGCAGGGAGATATGATAGAAGTATTTAAGTGGGTGAAAGGAATCAATAAAGGGGATATAGATAAAGTTCTTATAATATCCGAGCAGTATAGGACTCGGAGCAACGGATTCAAGTTGGATAAGTTTAGGTTTAGGAGGGAGATAGGAAGAAACTGGTTCACAAATAGGGTGGTGGACGAGTGGAACAAGCTTAGCAACTTTGTAGTAAGTGCGGGAACTCTGGAAAGTTTCAAAAGGAGGCTAGATAGATTCATGGATGATAGAGAGTGGTAGTAACTCTCGACAGGAGCTGCCATGCACAGGCCAACCGGCCTATTGCAGACTCCTTATTTTCTTAAGTTCTTATATAATTCGTTTCTGATTCTTGATCTTGTTTTTCTTGCACGTTTCACCCCCCCCCCCTCCCAGGCCCCGATCTGGGTCGGTGACCTGTATCTGGGTCAGCTTATCCCCTTAAAGAAAAATATATACATTCCAAAAAATATCTCAATTTCATAATTCTGTACATTTCAAATATTTCTCTTGGATTATTTAGCTAACCTTCGTTCTTCATTTGTTTTTCTGTCAGTATAGCTTATTCTTAACATCCGCCTATAACACCACATTCCAAAGGCCTCTAACCTCTTTCTGATATTTGCTGAAAGTGTCCACGCTTCTGACCCATACAACAGTCCTTGCCATATATAGCCTTTCAGAAGCCCATTTTCTTAAACTGAAGTTAATGTCCCTTTTTATTAGGTCTTTTAGAATATTTAATGCTGTTTTTATTTCTTCCATACATCTACCATCACAGTTAAAGTTACTTCCAAACACACAACATTTTCCACTTGTTAAGTTCACTCTTGTCTACCATAATTTTTATTTTGGGATTTATTTCCAATTTGAAAAGAATCATTACTTTATTCTTTACAGCTTCAACTCCCAGACCATATATTCACCCTTTCCACTAATGTGTTAATCAGTTTTTGTAATTCCTCTTCACTATCTGATAAGAGCAGTATTATCTGCATGGCGTATATTTGACATTACTTTACCATTAACCTTTAGCCCTTAATTATTACTAACAACTTCTCCCATTAGGTTAAGACCTGCAAAATAAAGAAGAGTATAATAGTTTAGCAACAACATGGAGCACAGGACGTAAGGAGTGTGCCTCTTCACGTTTAGACGATGAGGCGAACAATGTCACGCAGGGGTGACACGCCTGGAGATGCTAACTTTTGTGACAGAACGTGCAGTGTCAGGGCGAGCTGTGGGTGATCATGGTCTCAAGTTCTGGGGTGATCATTGTGTATGTGGTACGGAATATAAATTGGATTTAGAGGTAATTATCTTACCTTACCCTGCTTGTTCAGTAGGTAGGGCTATATTTTATATTACTTTGTTACTAATCCCGGGCATCAGGAACCTTGAGTACAGAGACAGGTTAAAGCATCTTAATTTGCACTCCCTCGAGAGACGTAGAGTGAGGGTCGACATGATATAGGTGTATAAATGGAAGTCAGGGTTAAACAAAGGGGACATTACAAAGGTACTCAAACTATCCAACCAGGAGCGAACTCGCAACAATGGTTTTAAATTAGACAAATTTAGATTTCGGCGTGAAGTAGGTAAACACTGGTTTGGAAACAGAGTAGTGGATGAATGGAACAAGTTACCAAATATCATCAACTCGAATACGCTGGATAGCTTCAAACATAGGTTGGATGCTTATATGAGCAATAGGGGTTGGGTATAAACGGGACTGCCCAGTATGGGTCAATAGGCCTGCTGCAGTTTCCTCCATTCTTATGTTCTTATGTAATAATTGTTTAATATGTTCTATATATTGATTTATAATAAGTATGTGTTAAGTGTGTCAGCCTATGTTGTGTATTAGTTAGGGTAAATATGCATTAGTTTGGTAAAATAATTTGATAATTGCCGACGTGGTATCAGCACTGTGTGGGTCACTGGTACACCAGCTAAGCCGGAGGGTGAAGAACGGCCGAAATAGACTAAAGGCGAAGTGGCCAGCAATCCCCCCAAACAAGTCTAGGGCAGACGAGCCTGGCTGGTGAGAGGGTGTGGTCCATGTGTGGTATAGTTGCTATGGAGACAAGTGGTTTAGGTTAGTTTAGGCTGTGGCTGTTTGTATTTTGTTTGGTCATTTACTTCTCTTTGTAAATATGTTCCCTAATTTTATTGTAATAAGAAATTATGCAGTGTATGATTCTTCCTCATTATGAGTTAATTTGAGGCTTATAAAGAACCTGGCAGATATAATATTAGAGTTATTATAGTGTTTATCCTGGTTGTTGTTGTGACCACTAGTGGCTGGCAGGGGTCTGTTTCTTTATGCCTTCACGATCAAGCCTCATCTCTTATTTGACTAGTGGTAAATTCTTGATCAAGAGGAGTGATGGCATAACAATGGTCTCAAGTTCTGGGGTAATGATCCGAAATGGTGACGTTTGAGGGCAGGGTATCAGAGGGGTCTTACATCCTGAAAATTTAGCTCAAGAAACTTTATGAAGTGATGTTGATTGTAATGACGTGTTTTTATACTAGATAACAAAGAAATGGGAGTAAGAGGTGGAACAACACTCCATGCCCTCAAGGATAGCTACACCACCCAATTTCTATTGATTATTAAGTTCTACACAATTATAATTTCTTGAATTAATGGGGGGGCAGTACTCTGTCATATATGTACCTGTATATACTCTTTAAATCAAAACACTTAATGACATGCCATTTGTACGACTTACATTAAGTTTCTGCAGGAGATGGACCCGACGGAGGAGCCAGCGACGACGGTTGGGGAGGACACAGAGATAAAGTTCTCAGCAGTGGACTACACGCTCTTCATCCTCATGCTGGTGGCGTCCATCAGCATTGGGGTGATCAGCGCCATTAGGAACCGTAACAAAGTGTCCACGCAGGAATATCTGATGGGGGGCAGGAACATGCCGGCGGCGCCTGTAGCACTCTCCCTCCTTGGCGGCAGGATATCTGCAATATCTATATTAGGTCAGTCAATAAATAATACCAGCTATTGCTTGGAAGCCAAAACTGAACCTGGTCCTTAAATCATTAATGTGTTACTCCCTGTCCCCAGCCTCAGGGTAAGCCTTTTGTGCTGCCTCACCTGCCTCTCCTGCCTCACTTGCCTCTCCCTGCCTCTCCTGCATCACCTGCCTCACCTGCCTCTCCTGCATCACCTGCCTCACCTGCCTCTCCTGCCTCACCTGCCTCACCTGCCTCTCCTGCCTCTCCTGCCTCCCACCTGCCTCTCCTGCCTCTCCTGCCTCTCCTGCATCCTGCCTCACCTGCCTCACCTGCCTCTCCTGCCTCTCCTGCCTCACCTGCCTCACCTGCCTCTCCTGCCTCACCTGCCTCACCTGCCTCACCTGCCTAGTCACCACATTTACACAAACCTGATTCATGCCGCACACCATTTTCCCCTTACACCAACGAAACCAACATCTACCGTTATGTTATTGTAAATTAAATACAAGTGAAATGTTTAAATATGTAATGAATATTTACATTTATTACAAGAGGTGGCGCCACAAACAATGTTGAAACCGACAGAGATGCAAAAAGTATGGCTTCTTTCAGAAAAATTAAATCAATGTACTAGATGAGTCGAATAATGCATTTTATGACGAACTACAAGAGGTCTTGGATAGTCCATGTATACCTGATCGAGATGTGAAAATAGTGCTCGGTGCTTTTAATAATAATCATAGGGTGGAGCATGTTATGAAGCAGCATGGGTTGGTGGGATGAAGCAGCATGGGTTGGTGGGAAGAAGCAGCATGGGTTGGTGAGATAACGAGAATGGTGCACTTTTGGTTAGTGTTTGTGGGCTAATAACTTGGTTAATGGTGGAACGCTCTAATTATAAAGATGTTCATAAGTGTACATGGACATCACCAGAGGGAAAACATCGCTATCAGATTGATCACATTTTGATTTGTAAACAGAGGTGTAATCATTAGAGGATGTATGAACTTTTAAAGGTGCAGATGTGAGGAGTCATCATCATTTGGTCGTTGCAACTATCAAGCTAAAATTAAAAGCAAAGGAGATAGGAAAAAGTTACTTAAGTATGACAGGACAAAACTGCTAGACCCCCAAGTTAAGGAGGAGCTTGAATGCCATAATCGCTATGCTGTTCTGGAATCAATGAGCGGAGAAGACACAGGGAGGAGGATAGAGGAGAGATGAAGAGGTGTATAGGAGTTATCCAGGGTGTGGCTGAGGAGCTTCTTGAAAAAAGAAAAACTAAGAGGGTTTATGTGGATAATGTGAACGAAAATAAAGAATGACTTAGAATGAAGACAGCGGAGACCCCGAGTCCGCATGGCTAAGTTAAGAGTTGTGCAATACGTAACAGGCGACTATCCCTAGAAAATATGGCAAAGGAAGCAGATAAAACACTGAACCCAGGTGTTGGTCATGGAGTGAGTGTGGCATATATCAGATTCTAGGACAGTGTAATGAACAGGAAGTACAGTACGAAGATTACGATGGGGGGACACTTGACGACTGTAAGGAACGTTACTATGTGCTGCTCCAAGGTCCGCTGACAGGATCGGGTGGCTGAGGGTTCACAATGGATCCCATACGTTTGCATGCGTTCAAGTCTGGCGCATTACCCGCCCAATCATTGTTCCCAGAGAAAAACGCATGGCTGTCACGGAACAGCGCGGAACTACGCCATTCCTTCTTTCATTAATACCACCCTCCCACACCCCTATCCCTCCAGAAATGGCTCTCCCCAAGTCAACCGCTTCCCGTCTCCACCCCACGTGACTTACCATGCAGAGCGGACCCAGTCAGGGAGTGAGTTGTTATTTTCGACCGTCACTGTACACAATCATACGGCAACAACAAAGAAACATAGGTTATGCCACAGCACGAGCCTGAAGGTAAGAAAGGCTGATGTAAATATGTCGCAACATGTCTAGGAGCGTCCACACACTCTCTTGCACTATGTACCATTAATAGGAAGGTAGGACTACCATTAACATTAATAGGAAGGTAGCACTACCATTAACATTAATAGGAAGGTGGCACTACCATTAACATTAATAGGAAGGTAGCACTACCATTAACATTAATAGGAAGGTGGCACTACCATTAACATTAATAGGAAGGTAGCACTACCATTAACATTAATAGGAAGGTAGCACTACCATTAACATTAATAGGAAGGTAGCACTACCATTAACATTAATAGGAAGGTAGCACTACCATTAACATTAATAGGAAGGTAGCACTACCATTAACATTAATAGGAAGGTAGCACTACCATTAACATTAATAGGAAGGTGGCACTACCATTAACATTAATAGGAAGGTAGCACTACCATAAACATTAATAGGAAGGTAGCACTACCATTAACACTTACACCAGCTAACACCTACAAGATGTAACACCCACACCAGTTAACACCTACAAGATGTAACACCCACACCAGTTAACACCTACAAGATGTAACACCCACACCAGTTAACACCTACAAGATGTAACACCCACCCAGTTAAACACCTACAGATGTAACACCACACCAATTACTTTACCTACAAGATGTAACACCCACACCAGTTAACACCTACAGATGTAACACTCACAGTTACTTTTAAGATGTAACACCCACCAGTTAACTACAGGATGCTTACCCTCACCAATTAAGACCTACAGATGCTGCCCACACCAGTTAACACCGGCAAGATGTAACATTCTCACCAGTTAACACCCACAAGATGTAACACCCACACCAGTTAACACCTACAAGATGTAACACCCTCACCAGTTAACACCTACAAGATGTAACACCCTCACCAGTTAACACCTACAAGATGTAACACCCACACCAGTTAACACCCGCAAGATGTAACACTCTCACCAGTTAACACCCACAAGATGTAACACCCACACCAGTTAACACCCGCAAGATGTAACACCCTTACCAGTTAACACCCACAAGATGTAACACCCACACCAATTAACACCCGCAAGATGTAACACTCTCACCAGTTAACACCCACAAGATGTAACACCTACACCAGTTAACACCTACAAGATGTAACACCCACACCAGTTAACACCTACAAGATGTAACACCCACACACCAGTTAACACCCGCAAGATGTAACACTCACCAGTTAAGACCTACAGACAACACCCACACACCAGTTAGCACCCACAAGTAACACCCACACCAGTTAACTTCCCACAAGATGTAACACCCACCAGTTTAACACCTACAAGATGCTAACCTTACACAAGTTAACACCACTAGATGTAACACCCACCAGTTAACACCCACGTGATGTAACACCCACACCAGCCCAACACCTACAAGGTCTGCTTACCCACACACCAGTTAACACCCACAAGATTTAACACCTACACCAGTTAACACCTACAAGATGTTACACCCACACCAGTTAACACCTACAAGATGTAACACCCACACCAGTTAGCACCCACAAGATGTAACACCTATACCAGTTAACACCTACAAGATGTAACACCCACACCAGTTAACACCTACAAGATGTAGCACCCACACCAGTTAACACCCACAAGATGTAACACCTATACCAGTTAACACCTACAAGATGTAACACCCACACCAGTTAACACCCACAGATGCTGTAACACCTACACCAGTTAACACCTCTGAATGTAACACCCGCACCAGTTAACACCACAAAGATGTAACATCCACACCAGTTAACACCCGCAGATGCCAACACTCACCAGTTAAGACCTACAAGATGCTTAACACCCACACACCAGTTAACACCCACAAGATGTAACACCCACACCAGTTAACACCTACAAGATGTAACACCCACACCAGTTAACACCTACAAGATGTAACACCCACACCAGTTAACACCCACAAGATGTAACACCCACACCAGTTAACACCCGCAAGATGTAACACTCACCAGTTAAGACCTACAAGATGTAACACCCACACCAGTTAACACCCACAAGATGTAACACCCACACCAGTTAACACCCACAAGATGTAACATCCACACCAGTTAACACCCGCAAGATGTAACACTCTCACCAGTTAACACCCACAAGATGTAACACCCACACCAGTTAACACCTACAAGATGTAACACCCACAGTATTGAAATCCCAAATTTTTCCAGGTAATCCCACGGAGATATACTTCTTTGGTACTCAGATCGCCATGATTCTCCTGGGCGCTATTCCGGGCTGTTTCTTCGTCAGCATAGTCATAATCCCGATTTTGTACAACCTGAGAATCGTCTCTATTAACGAGGTCAGTAGATGGGTCACCCTAACAAATATTCTTAATTTGTTTACATATTACAGTTGTGTTGCCCAGGTTTAATTTTAACAAGGTAAAGTTAACATAAACATACCAAATACCAGTAGGGCTGACCCCAGATTACACCGTCACTAACATAAACATACCAAATACCAGTAGGGCTGACCCCAGATTATACCGTCACTTACATAAACATACCAAATTTTAACTCTTGTGTTAAAAGGGATGAGGAAAAAACATACTCACAAACGCATCATCAAAGATGGTGGGCCGACAGAGGCTGGCCCACCATCCCCCAACTCTGCTGTATACATGAGCGGATCAAATTTTGGATCTTTATCTTAAAAAAAAAAAAAATCTGTGGCAGCTGACATCAAACAAATATGAAAATATATGTGGCTGAGGGGGGGGGGGTGGCACTGGGGACAGTCCCCAAGAATTTTACCTTATTAGCGCTACAGAACGACACGTGATGTAGTTTAGTGGTTCTTAAATGTTCATTCAATAAATGTTCCTAATAACTGAAGATATTATAATGTACCTAACTGGTTGACTTAAGCTCAAACATGAGAATAATGCCCAAATTAATTTGCTTGGTATTAAAGAAGTGTGTCTGAGTGTGAACCAGGAGATGGCGGTGTTCATGGTGGGATTCCTCTGTGATAGCTCTTTTGTTTCTCTGCCTTTCCATCTCTTCAGGGGCTTTAACGTCTGGTAGGTCTAGACGGTATTGACGGTGAGAGAACTGTTATTGTGCTATGTGGACACCCAGTATTCTTTTCCTGCCTCTGCCTATCACAATTTTTGACATTCAGGATACGCTAGGCCTCGCCATTTCCTCTAGTATGTCATGGAAGCCACACATCCTCAGCACTTCTAAAGCCGCCTCCCGAAAGCTGGGAATGCTGTACAGATGCCGTAGTTACTTCATTCCTGAGCAATTGCTTCAAGTATATAAGGGATTCATTCGTCCTAACTTGGAGTACTGCTCTCATATCTGGGGTGGCTCTTCTTCTGTCCAACTGTTAGATAGGGTGGAATCAAAGGCATTTCGTCTTATTAACTCTCCTCCTATAGTTGATAATCTCTCTTCCCTTTCTCTTCGCCACAATGTTGATTCACTCGCTCTCTTTTACAGGTTCTTTAACGGGCACTGTTCGGTAGATTTGACATCCTGTGTACCGCCGGCAAGGCCGTGGGCTCATAACACACGTCTTGCCCGCGGTGCCCACCGTTTCCCTGTGGATGTCGGTCACACGAGAATAACGCGTTATAGTACCTCCTTCTTTCCTCACACATCCAAACTGTGGAATGCTCTGCCTTCTTCTGTGTTCCCATACTCATATAATGTGTCTCACTTTAAAAAGCTGTTTTTGCGGCGTCTTCGTGGTGTAGATTAATATAATATTGTGTTTTTATATTTTTTATTTATTTTTACTCTTATTTATTCGACCTGTGCCCAGGTGGGCTAATTCCCGTAAAAAAAAAAAGACCTCAGAACTAACTTACCCTCAGCACTGTTGTTACAAAACTGCTGGGGAGATTATATTTTGTTGGACTTTTTATACGCGCTCATTTTAGTTGATGAATACAGAAAAAAAACTGAAATAATTCTGTAGCGTTCATCAAAGATTTCTGCAGTAGTGGAATAAACATTCTTTGAAGTATATTTAGACAAAATGTGGTAAAATAGGAGGGCGTCGACTCAGGGAAATGTTTATATACATTCTGAGAAATGTTTGTGTGTCATTTTCTGAACGATTCGAGTAGAGTAATTTTCTCTTAATGTACATTATCAGCTTATCCACCCCAAGTGTACAAATTACATGGATGAAAAATAGAGTATAAGTCCCACAAATATATGAGCTGACTCTCTGCATACGGCTTCCTTGTACCCATAATTTAAAATACCACTTGCAACAATTACAATAATAATAATAATAATAATAATAATAATAATAATAATAATAATAATAATAACATGAATACAGGAGTGGCTGCTCTAAAGATCAAATAAAAATCCTTGTGGGGATTAGAGAGGGAAGGAGGAAGGTGCTTGCTTGCTTGCATTCAGTTTGGAGCCTGTGAGGGCACAAATAGACTACTGACACTATATATTTCTTACAGTATATAGAGCTGAGGTTTGAGTCACGACTGCTAAGGACGCTGGCAACTCTGTGTACTCTTCTCTCTTCTTTCATTTACATGGGCATCTGCCTCTATGCTCCAACATTAGCTCTGTCTACAGTCACGGGCCTCGCTACCTGGGTATCCACACTTATCATGGGGACAATATGTACCTTCTACATCACAATTGTAAGTATGGTGTGCACCAAATACAGAGACCTGTAGTAATAATTTATAAATATATAGTTAATAAATGAATCTCGAGATTATACTATATAAACCTTTTATAGTACAAAATAATCATAGCATATTTATCATGCTCTTAATATCAAAAAGCTTTTATGGAAACATTTTACCAGAAATATCCTCATGGCTTCTCTTTTAGCCTCATTGTGGAATAGAATCAATATGTTTACTATTCAAAGGATCAATTTAGGAGTGTCAAGGTGGAGCAATAGAGGTATAACTTGTTTATTGCAGTTTCGATTTATCACAATTCAATTTATCACTACGTGTTTCGTTCTTTTTTTCACAATACCTTCATGAAACAAAAATAATACTGCACACATGAGTTGCTTCCAGTAGAGCAGAAATTAACGAGAATCTTTTATATTTGCAGACAAGTTTCAATACACTGCATATTCCTCAGTTATGGAGCTTGGTACTTAGCCGATTGTATTGATCTATGCGTGCATGTAGTGAGAGTTGTTTAAGTATGTATGTGTGTGATTATTTCTGTAGATTTCACCCAAAATCTTATAAAATGAGTCCAAAAAGATCAAAGCTGAAAAAATGAGACATCAGACATTATCTAAGGACGAGAGTGTGGTAGAGAGTTGAAAATGGCCATGACAGGCAGAATTATGTTCTCACAGTTCAGTAGTATCTAATATTATGCTTAATGCATATTTTTTCTATGTATTGTACAAAGAATCAGTCAAGGTACCTTCAAAGTTCCTTGCAAGGGAAAATCTCCCTCAATATATACCGTAAACAAATGGTAATCATTGACTTTTGTATAATATTACACTTTTTTATGTAAACTTGTAGGTTGAGCAGGATGAAATATTCTGGAGTATTATCACCTATTTGTTTTGTGCAAACAATCCTTAAAAAAATTCTTTAGTAACTTGGCTACTTTTCTACCACTGATGACATCACAGTCGTAACTCGAGCATGGACGTCAGTGTAGCTGCAGGTGTGCTGGTTCTTGGGTGTTTATAAGAAACTGTGTTAACAATGACAAAGTGATCATATAGATATCTGTCTTTTATGGGAGGATATTTAAACCACATTAGCTCTTGGAAATTTTTTTAGAAATAGTGCTACATATTTATACACTGGTACACAGTGAAAATATTTTCTGAACTCCTGGGTCTGAAGGCCGTCGCAATGATCATTGAAGGAAGCCATGTTCATTTGGTAAGGTTGGTAGGAAGAGGTGGTAAACACTGTTAGTATTATAACTTTTTCCCTCAGGGTGGTGTAAAGGCTGTGGTGTACACAGACGTGTTGCAAACGTTGCTCATGTTTGGCGGGGTGCTGGTGGTGGTGATCCTCTGTTGTATTGACCTGGGCGGCGTTGACAAAGTGTGGGCCATTGCAGACCGAGGTGGACGCATCCAATTTTTCAAGTGAGCTTACATACTTGTGTCATAGGCCTATCATCTAACCTTAACGATTTCGTATTTCAGACACGTACGGGTCCTATTTGTGTAAGCCTCTTACAGGCTGGCACCAGAAGTGTACCCCTAAATAGGTTTTAGGCATCTTTCACAAGTTTTTATCACACGGCACTTAGAAATGAATGGAGTTCAGCGGAACCTTTCACAGGGACGTACGGGATATAACGGTGACAACTACACTGGTAATATATTAACACTCATTCATATAATGCTACATTGCCCATATAACATGGATGACTTAAGCCACCTACTAGAAAGAAGTTTTCCATCTTAAGGAGGTACACTCGGCAACAGTGAGGCTTGGCAAGTGACAGGATGGTGGTGAGATTGTTAACTACAGCAGTGTTAGAGTAGTCGGGGGAAATTAGGAAAAAGTTGAACTAATTCATATTGAAATAATACTTGGTAGTAAGAGTGAGAATACGTTTTTAAACAACATACCAAATATCCTGACCGATCTGAGGCGAGTTTTTGTCGTCGTCTTGAAAAAATGGCGGCCGTTCGCTGTTGTTGATGTTTTACTCATTAACTGTTGATTTTTGGGAGCATAAAATTGTGCACATTTTGGTATATTCATCTTTTGTGTACGATTAATACTTTCCGAGAAAAACAATCTTCACTACTGGCCACACCCTTCGCTATTTTTACATCATCTGGTACCGTTTTCCACACCAGCCATGAGGTCCAGTACGTGGAGCGTCTTTTTTTAATGTGGTATCCCTTGTAGACCTGTTCCAGGATTAGTGTTTTTATGACAGTTCATTTTCTTTGTAACTTGTTCAGTATTTGTAGTTACACATGAAGTTTGGGAGTCAAATTCAGTGCCGTTGTGATAATTAAGGTCAGTATCAAATGTTCATTCATTATTAGTCCCTAAAAAATAAAAAAAGCAACACAGACATTATATTCTTGTTGTTTTTTACCAATGGAACATTAAAGTGTCAAAATTAGAGGTGGAAACAAAATGTTTATTATATCAAAATGTATTAGTCCTACACAAAAGCTGAAGATACAAAATGTGCAGAATTTTACGCTCTTTTATTTTGTTATTAAGTGTCATCTCCCTAAAATCAACGGTTAATGAGTAAAACATGAAAAACCGCGAAAGGCCGCCATTTTTTCAAGATGGCGGCAAAAGCTTACCTCAGATCGCTCAGGCTGTTCAGTACGTTGTTTACGAACGTATTCCCAATAATTCTACCAAGGATCATTTCATTATGAAAAGTTCAACATTTGGCATAAAAATTGTCTAATTTCCCTGGACTAGAGTTTAACAGCTATATTTTGATATTCATTAAGATGTTGATATCTGATGTCCTTAATAATACGATATATATTTTATCGGTTGCTCTCTCTCTCTCTCTCTCTCTCTCTCACACACACACACATAAATATGCGTTTACTTTGACATTAAAAATACTTCCAAATACAGGTGCAATACATAGGCAGTTCACATTATGGATGTGGTTAACTGATAAACAATTAAACCAAAGGTAGCAGTTTTATAATATTTGGTGGTTACAAGTGTTCCCTGAAGAATGCAGTGATGGGTAGGGAAACACCGGGTAACACTGAAGTCCGTTTATTAAGGGATAGGAGAAATACAAGTGGTGACTAGCGTGTGCCATGCACGGCTCACACAGTCAGACTGAGACTGCCTTGCCATATGACAGCCTCGGGGCAATGTTGCCACATAACACGTGCAGTGTTGCCACGTAATTATATATATAAATGCTACTCGGCACAGTAGCTTATTTACAAGGTTGCTACTTGGCACGGTAGCATAGATACATAACCTACATCTCCCTCCCCCCCTCATTCTCATAGTCTTTGTCTTGAGCGGACTTCTTAGTCCTAAGTCGCTCCGAGCGTCGAGGTGCACTGTGGGGCGGATCCTCGTGAGGTGTAGGGGACTCGTCCTCGGTCAGGGGGCCAGCAGCAGGGGGTGGGACTGGCCGGAGGAAGCGGTGGTTCCTCCACCAGACACGGCCACTCGGCATCCTGACCTTGTAGTCTGCCCACCTTGTCCCAACGTGTCGTCGTCGGGTCCTGGACGCGGACAAGGGCACCAATCTCCAGTGGCTGAAGAGGGCGGGCACGGTCGTCATACCGAGCCTTGGCGTCCTGGGCACGTGAAGCGGCGCGGCGGTCACAGCTCTCGGCTTTGGTCTGCCAGTCCTTCGCAAAGGCCTTGGCATGTGTAGGAACGCAAGAGCGGAGAGGGTGACCATACAGGATCTGGGCAGGGGAGCGTCCTGTGTGGGTGAAAGAATTGGACAACGGGTTTTGGGCTCTGTGTGCTTGCGCCAGCGGCACGTCCTTTCATCTTCCACCCTGCTGGTGCCTGCGAGCAGCATGGGATCTGCTACGGAAAGTCTCACCGGGCACCACGCTCCTTACGTTCTTTCCCGACGCTGAGGCGCGCGAAAGTGAGCTGCCTCGTCCATCCTGACGACTGCCTGTCGCCGTAATGAGTGATCTCTGTGAGCCCTGGCGTCTATCTCTGGGGAACCGTCCGCATGTGTGGTACTGCTGCGGTCCCCGGAATCTCTTTGTGAGGCAGTTTCTGGAAGTTAACCAGCCCAATCTGCCGTGGTATCACGGCGCGATTGTCATTATCACCTTGATGTGACCCGACACATCTCACCGTGTGTGTGGGCGTGCAGTCGGTGGAAAGAGTAGCCCTGGGGCGTGTGGGTGGGTCCTACCTCACGGTGTGTCCACACGCTGCCCCGGGGCTGCGTGGGCCATCTGGAGGGGGCTGCGTGCGAACCACCCCGAGGGAAGTGCGCTGCTTTCCTCCTCGTCTCGGGCTTTTGGGCTTGGGTTGGCGGTAGCACTTGTCATAGTGTCCATAGCGACCGCAGGCCTGACACTTGTGGCCTCGTGCAGGGCACCTGTCTGTGTTAGACCAGTGGCCCTTACGGTCACATCCACGACACAGTGCGTCGACGGCCGGGCAAGTCTTGGGGCTGTGCTGCTTTCCACAGCTGCCACAGGAAGCACTAAGCGTGGAAGTGTGTAGTGGCAACCTTGTACCCAGCCACCTTCTTATCTTCTTGTGAAAATAAGCTCTCACAGCAGGTGGGGAGACTGATATTAAAGGCAGAGGTGTGACTTGAGGTGGCCTCGTATGACCGGCAGTGATCACTACTGCGCCTGGGTGTGGAGAAGCGTCCCAGGGGATGGTCGCTGCCTGCCAACTCTTCCTGCTGACTTTAAATCCCATGCTTGATCCAGGCTTCCTCACATTCCCGGCTGTGCGCCTTGCAGACGTCGATCTCCTCTGACAAACTCTTCAAGCGTACAAAAAAGTCGTCAAAGGATTCGTTCTCCGCCTGCTTGCAGCTGGTGAAGGCACGGCGACGCAAAGCCTCGTTGTTCCGACCCTTAACATGCTCCTGTAAAAGGTCGAGCACATCCGTCACTGAAGAGGTAGAATCGGGAGGCACTTGCAACGTGTGCTCCAAAACTCTCTGGGTCTCCAGTGACAAACACATCTGCAGTTGGATGAGCTGTTTGTTTGGAGGCATGCTGTCAAGGTCCATGCTGTCCAACGCCGCCTCCACTCACGAAAAAGCTGAAACGTGACGTCTGGTGAGAGGGCGGGTGGGGGTTGAACAGATGCCTTGGGAGCTGTTGGAGTAGCAAGAGTGCCTGGAGGACGCTGGTGTGGTGGAGGAGGGAGGGTACTGGCGCCTTGATGCGCGCTACCTGCGAGTGAGGGAGGGTGGGTTAGCGCCAGGGTCGCCAATAGTGCCTCAAAACGCAACTTTTCCTCCTCTCTTCGTGTCTCCTCCCTCTGAAGTTCCATCTCTCTGCGTCTCTCGTCCCGGTCGTCCATCCACCTCAGAATTGTGGCAATGTCCGTCACTGGAGGTGGAGGATGAGAGTCTGCGCCCGGTAGAGGAGAAGGTGGTGGGGAGTCGTGTCTCCCATCTTGACGTTGTCCCTTCTTACCGCCCATCTTTGTGTGTGCGTGGACTGCACTGTTTAATATATAAAGTGGCGCCTCAACAGCTCGAGCCACATATATATGACATAAACAGCGCAGAAATCACCCCATATGATCCACTGTTCTGTCCGTGAGTGAGTGCGTACGTGCGTGCGTGCGTGTGTGTGTCTGAGAGAGCGGAGCGTGGTCCGGCAAGACCGTCAGTTTCCCTCGGATGTCGCACGAGAAGGGTGTACGCCTGCGTGCTCCATGGGTACCACAAAAAACAGGCCAATGCTCAACTCTCAGCTCTAGACACACACTAATACACTGACACTAACACTGCCACCGTCACTAAAAAGCACTGTGACGGCCCAACACTGCACATCGCGGCGAAACACAGCGCAACACAACACAACACACTATGAGTCGACGCGCATATCGCCGGCAGATGTAACCGTCGGCATCGTTCACACACTTGTAAGTCCACAGATCCTAGTCACTGCGCCATGATGGTTACAAGTGTTCCCTGAAGAATGCAGTGATGGGTAGGGAAACACCGGGTAACACTGAAGTCCGTTTATTAAGGGATACGAGAAATACAAGTGGTGACTAGCGTGTGCCATGCACGGCTCACACAGTCAGACTGAGACTGCCTTGCCATATGGCAGCCTCGGGGCAATGTTGCCACATAACACGTGCAGTGTTGCCACGTAATTATATATATAAATGCTACTCGGCACAGTAGCTTATTTACAAGGTTGCTACTTGGCACAGTAGCATAGATACATAACCTAGAATATTAAACTGTTAATTATTATTTAAGATACTGAGAAGTTTCCAAATGATCGTATATGACTTAAATAATGAAGAAAGTTTGTGTGAAAATCTTGTGGCAGCTGTGGTTATAGTTGAGTTGCCAATTCATTAATATAATTTCTTCATTATTTAAGTCAATATACGATCATTTGGAAACTTCTCAGTATCTTAAATAATAATTTATAGTTTGATATTATAAAAATGCTACCTTTGGTTTTGTTTTATCCTGACAGTTATACAGCTGAAAATAGATCCACCAATCACACATCCCCATTACATACAGCCTTACATCACCAAGTATTGCCAGGTAAACTTGCCACTACGCTAGCCAGTCCGTACATGACAAAAAAAAATGTGACATTGACGCTGAACAAATGCTTGTACTTCCAAAATGCGATGCATAAATTTATGTTCAGCATTATAGAAATCTTCGTGTAGCAATGGAGTATTTCAGACGAGGGTTTGTTTGTCATGCAAAATATGTGTTTCTGCTTTGGTTGAGTGACTTGTGCAAATGTGTCTCCCTCTCATTCTTTCCTGAGGGGGACCGGTGGTAGAAGCGATACCGTTCTTGCCTCGCAAGCGAGATGTCACGGGTTCGATTCCCGGGCCGGTGGAAGTCGTTTGGACTTACTTCCTAGCCCCCATTAGTCCCTGTTCACCTAGCAGTAAAGTAGGTACCTGCTGTAAGTCGAAAGTTGCGAATTCGTATTCAGGGACAAGCTGTTGGAGCTCCCAATAATTGGATGACATAAACCACTGACTCTTCAGGCTTCTACGCCCTTAAATCGTGAGACATAAAGGCAAGCATGAACTCAGCATGCTTCCCTGTTGGGCGCTGTAAACGCTTCTGCGCTTCACCTTACACAAGGATATAGGGGGTTGCCCAATAAAAAAAAAAAAAATCTTTCCTGACACTTATTTTTATGTAATTATCTATTTCAATAAGCATTACCTGCAGAGTATATATTTTATGTTCTTACTATATTATATTTATATATTATAAGTGTAGTCTATGCATATTATAAACACATATTTCTTTGCTTCACAGGTGTTCAACTAGGCGCAATTCTTTTCATTTTTTCACGCCATGCGCTTTGTTTTAGGTAATCCAATATACTACTGTATATAGAATTATTTTTATTTTTATATCACAGTTTTTTATTGCCTTACATGCCCTCAACTCTTCAATATTAATCAAAACATTCTCCATAAACGGCCATGATCCTCGTATTTTCAATGAGAGAACTCTCTGATTGGCTGTTAGCTATTTGGGCCGCTTGGGCGCTGTGCAAGGCTAACGCCTGATCGAGGTGTTAGCTTTTCCCTCTGAGTGTGTCATGCGCACAAGTCAAAAGCAGCGTCTGTGCATACAGAATAGCTAACACGTTAGGTAATCCGTGCATCGAAAACGACTTACAATAAACGACGTATCTCTGCTTTGTGGCCTTGAACCCGATACTACGCAATCTCTTTCTCACAGTAGGATTTCTCTACATCAACGTTGTTCATCTGATGTCTGCTTTCTCTGTTTACATCTCCAAGACTAAGTACTTTACATTTGTCTACATTAAATTTCATCTGCCATTTTTCATACCATGCATTTTTTTTTTAGATCTTCCTGTGGTTTTGCGGAGTCTTCGTCTTATTTAATTACACGCCCTATTTTAGTGTCATTAGCAAATTTACTTAAGTTGCTGTCTACGCCTATATCTATGCCATGGGCCTCCATTTTACGTATTAGTCTTTCATGGGGGACCCTGTCAAAGACTTTGCTAAATTCGAGGTAAACCACATCGTAACCATGCCCGTCGTCCACTGATTCGAAAACGGTTGGAAAGAATGTTAATAGACTTGTCAGACATGAACGCCTATTTGTTAAGCCATGTTGGGAATCGTTGATCAATTTGTGTTTCTCCAGGTGATTTTGAATAGAGTTTGAAATTATTGCTTCCAGTTATGTGCCTACACCTGATGTTAAACTGATTGGACGGTAGTTAGAGGATAGTGATCTATCTCCCTTCTTGAAAATCGGTATTACATTCGGTATCCTCCAGGATTCTGGTACTACATTCGTTTTTAATGCATGTTAAACAGGTTTGTTAAGGGCTTACTATGCTCTTCCATACATTCCTTTAATATTCTGGCAAATATCTGTTTGTTTACTAACATCGTTACTAGTCATTACGATCTCACTTAATCTATTTCCTTCACTATCTCTGTGTTGTGGGATTCTCCGTCTTGAACAGATGGAGCTCAACTGAGGCATGGCAGGAAAACGTCCATATGAAAGCTTGACTTTTTGTTCACTAGATGCAAGTACATTCTGTCTCGTGACAAAAATAATGATCATGTGAAAAAGGCCTTAATCAGGCGTACTAGGTCTGTCTGACCATGTCAGGTTGAGATCAAACCTCAAATTAAATCTAGTTGTTATCAAGGTCATGTTCAGGTGGCGTCTCAACCTGGGAGCATCCCTGGAGAGTTGCCCAGTAGTGATATTTGTATTTCCTTTATAACTTTTGACTAAATTTTAAGTTAACATGTGTTTATAATGTTGCTAGTTATATTACATTAATATTCTCATCATGTTTCTTCAATTCCTACACTTTTGATTTTGCTCATGTAAACCTGGTGTTACATTGTGGGAGTAGTTACCTTCCTCGCCCAAGCTCTCCTTACTCGCTCTCCTGTCTCTGGGTTGGCCACCCCTGTCCTTTCCCCAACTGATCCTGTGGTCCTCCGACTGCACGATGATGGATTATATCTTCCATGAGTAGGTAAGATGGTTCCTCCGGTGTTTAGGAGGTTTTACCACATATTAGGAAGGAGTGTTTTTATTTGTTTCCTGTGTTTTCATGTTGTTCTTGTTCTTAATTGTAAATATAACCTTTGCCTGTCTGGACAATAATACATCGGGTTTTCAATTAACTAGTACAGGAGAAGGAATATAACAGTGAATGTAGAAAACTTATTGTTGTATTTGGCGAATTTTGGTCAGTTATAAAGGCCCCCAAAAGGCCACCCAAATCTCCAAAGAACTGGCTTCTCACTCTTTTCTTATAAGGGTGTGTAACTTTTTTTTTCCTTTCTTCATTCTGGTAATTACTGGTGTATAGAGCACATTACCCACCATTCTGTAGACATCACTTTTTAGAGGGTGAAGTTTTCAATATTAGTAACGAGGAGTGAGGGACACCATGTGCTGTGCAAAATGATCCTTCACATTGATAATGGGCAAAAAATAAATAAATAAATAGAAGGAAGGGGATCATACAGTATACTGGCACAAATACATTTCATAGGAGTGAATGAAACATGTGGCACAAAACATATTTACTTTGTTTCAGCCTCGACACGAGCCCTTTTGAGCGCCACACTCTGATGTCCACTGTGGTCTTCGGCTATTACTTAATAGTCTCTTCCATCGGCTTCAACCAAACCACCTTCCAGAGATTAGCATCTGTGAGGACGCTTCAGACATCACAAAGGTAATAAAAACTATATTGAAAATTTACCCATCTTCCAGGAGACACATCAATCATGTTATAAAAACAAATGTTCTATTTACATTATATTATTTTATAAGTAGCACTTAGACCTACCGTGACAAATATTTAGAATATTCATAAATACCACCATGGGTGCTGGCAGCACAGCAGTAACGCACGTGCCTCTCACAGTTATGTCCTGGGTTTAATCCCCAGCACGGATCACAAGTGAGAAGAGCTCCATTCACTGACAGCTAGGAAAACTTCTATAGCACAAAGGTACAGGGTGCATTTATCTGGTGGTTGAAAAGATGTCCAGGTCTTTAAACTGCTAAAGGACCATGCGAGCACTGGGGTCGAGGAGACTGCAGTGGGCACAGGGATACACGTGTCAATAGGTTACCTATAAATTGTGCTAACAATGACAATAAAGTGACATTAGTCAGGGAGTTAAGCCACAACAGAGAGAAGAATCAGATCTTGGCGAGGTTAAATCTTTACAAAGTGAACAGCAGAAGCATTAAAAATAAAATGAAAGAAATCAGAGCTCTGGTATGTATGGAAAAAATCGATATAATAGATTTAACTGAAACCTGGATTAATCAGAGCTCTGGTATGTATGGAAAAAATCGATATACTGTAATAGATTTAACTGAAACCTGGATTAACTTACCTGTCGAATATCAAATTAAATGATATGTATTATTTCATATGGATAGGAAGAACAGGAGGAGAGGCGGGGCAGCATGTCAGGGATAATTTGAAATGTGGCATTAAATAGGAAACTAAAACTGAATTGAATATAATAACAACTTGGAGATAATTAACCGATGGTAGAGAAAAATTAATCATAGGAGTAATATATAGACCTGCTAAACTTGATAGTGTTGATGGACGACTTATTTGGGATGAAATATGACAGGCATCCAGACATGATACCGCTAAGTCTGTATAGTAGGCGACTTTAACTCAAGTCAAATATATTGGACTGACTTTACAGGTAACTCCGCGTCATAGGATTTCCTTGAAACTGTCCAGGACTGTTTGTTAAGTCAAAATATAACTGAACCTTATCCGGGGAAAAATATATTATAGATCCAGTTGTGTCACGAAGAGAAAACTTCACCTATAATGACGACGTAGGGAGCAAACTGGCTAACAGTTTGTTATATAATAAAAAAAAAAACAAGGTGACGTTCAACCCCCAAAATTAACCAGAAGGATCAGGAAAGATATAAGAAACACAAAGAAAGATCATAAAAAGAAAAGGACCAAACAGCCAGCTTACCCGTGAGCTAACTGATAACGAGGGGGAAATGAACATTATTCTCAACTGATATGTTTCATCAGTTTTCACAACCAAAAACATAAACATGATACAGTCAGAAACACTAATAACTACCCCCCTCACTAACGTCAGGAGCCAGTGAAGGCCGATAATGACACATCGCCAACCTTGATACTCCAAGTACTAGTTTCAAAACTACCCAGCGACGTTTACACAGGGGTTTTGTCCGATCGTCAGGCCTTCACTTGCAATGCCTCCTGCTACTAGGGACGTAGTCTTTCATAACTGTACAAAAAATAAAAATATATTCTTCAAAGTTTACATAATGAAACAAATACTATTATACATATTAATGTAAAAATAATCAAGACATTTTTGAAAGTCTTTACCATAAGCTTGGGATTTCGAGTCTAAAGAAAAATGGGAGACAATAGAAAGTAAATACAATGGGTAACTGAAACAAATAATGAGGGAAAGGGGAGATGATCATAACTATATATATATATATATATATATATATATATATATATATATATATATATATATATATATATATATATATATATATATATATATATATATATATATATATATATATATATATTGATAAAATCACAAGGGAAAAGGGAAGCAACGAAGCACCTTAGCTTTCGTCTTTATTCAAGACATCTTCAGTTGCCTCTGAAGATGTCTTGAATAAAGACGAAAGCTAAGGTGCTCCGTTGTTTCCCTTTTCCCGTGGGATTTTATCAAGACTTATCTTATCCACGTTTTCATTGTGGATCTACATGAAATATATATATATATATATATATATATATATAATCAACGACCTCACCAGCAAGGAATCGAACCCTCGACCTACTGGGTGTGACTAGGGAACGCTTACCGGCTAGGCCACAAGGACACTAAAAGCAGTTCTAGACTCTGTTATATTTCACACAAAGCCTGTTCATCGAGCTGATGGCGCCGTGAACCTCATTGGGAAACTGCCCGTGCCTCTTATGTGGTGTCAGTAGCATTTTACCGAATCCAGCTGGTATGAAACGCGAGGTACATATATATACTTCATTTTTAGTCCATTTAACACGCGGACTTTGAACATATAATCAACGACCTCACCAGCAAGGACTCGAACCCACGATCTTATGTGTGTGGCCGGGGAACGTTACCTCTTACACCTCTAGGACACTAAAAGCAATCCTAGACTTTGTTATATTTCACACAAAGCCTGTATGTATGTGTGTGTTAAGTCACATTAGTAACAAAGTAATGTTTGTCTTGCAGATTGGTAATGGTCTTCCTGGTGGGGTTGTATACCTTGTGGAGTCTCTTCTACTTCTCGGGGCTCGTCGCCTATGCCACCTACAGTGATTGTGATCCGCTCACTACCGGCAAGATTGAAAAACCTGACCAAATAATTCCATTCTTGGTGACTGACAAGCTGAGTCACTTGCCGGGGTTGGCCGGGATCTTCGTGGCGGCAGTCTACGGCGGCGTCCTCAGGTATTTATTATAATTTACATTGGTGCTATCTAGCTGTTGCTGGTATGATTTATTGTACTGTGTTCCAAGATTATGTGATGCTTCAGCTATTGGAAATGTACTATGTCTAACTCTAGAATGCCTCTTGTTTTTCCATTATGGAAAATTCTTTCAATTAATATAATTATCAATGCTTGAACCTTCTATGCAGCCCTGGTGCTCCATAAATTCCCTTCCTTCAATAATTAAGGGACCTAGAAAAGTCAATCCACATTGTACCTATATAAATGGCACATAACTTTAAGTTATTTAATTTGGAAATCTATGTATTCAGAAGATAAAGTTGACATGCAAACTTCTCGATCTCAGCTAATATTTCATTTGTGAGTTCTGGGTTTGTATCCAGGTGTGCAATATCAGTGAGAATTTCGTCACCTGCCGTGTGAAAAGCCTTCCAACAGGTAAGTTTCCCTTTACATACAAAGCTACCCGTGTTTTCCGCACTACTGAGTGCATGAAATACAGGAGGGGCGGCCAGTTTGTTTGGACCCAGCACTTGCACTACATGCTTCAGGGGATCACTCGCTGATGCTGTCCACTTCCTGTCATATTTGAATTGTCCTCACATAAGTCAGTATACCGCCTTAGGGAAAGGACAAAAACCTCCGTGACTGCAGAGTGAATGGGGACACTTATTACACTGAGTTTGTGGCATCCACAGCTTGCACGAATACCTTTGTGTCAGCGTCTTCTTGTTCACTGTCTAGGTAGCTCATACCCTTGTGTGTACCTATGCGCTGGTTTTCGTGTACCACAACCGGACGCTGATGCTGAAGAACAGTCTGCATTATCTTATCTGCAAGGTGTGCGGTTAATTACAGCTTTGTCTTTGTGTGTGAAAGAAAAAGTTCATGTATTCGCCGACACTCCAGACACCGTATACACCATCACACGCAAAGTGTACTGTAATCTACAACGTCACAAATGTATTGAAGTGATGAACTAAAATGTTTATAGTAAAATGCCACAGGTGGTGTAGTTAAACATGGAGATAGAGGAAGGCTTACCAATGTGATTACAATAGTGCAAAATAGTGAAACAATGGCGGACAACTTAGATATGTAAATATCAGAAAGCATCTATGTATGGTAAACAAACCACATGAAAACTGACGGTTCTGATCTCTCTTATTAACATGTTGGTAAAGTATCAACATGGTTTCTATTATGTTATTTAAGGCATATTTATTATTTTTGAAAAGGTGGCACTTTATATCACGACAGTTACTCTTGCAGTAATGTGTGTGTGCGTGTTGGGGGAATGACCACTTCACAGTTTGGTAGCTGACTCCCTGGTCCCTTTTTGAAATTCTAGGGAGCAACAGTTGCACTCGGGGATGCCACATGAGCTGGATGTAATGGCTAGAACTCTGCTGGTCACTCATGCCTTTTTCACACAAGGAGTTGAGTTATCCAATAACAAGAAGGAGGCTGATGGCTGTCTACTGATACAACATCCGCCCTTCAAGATTTGCCACACTGCTGTCTATCTCTCCAGCCACATCAGTGAGAAAGTTACTTCCTCAGTGTGTTTTAGTCTGCTGCTTTCTCGTGTCGAGACGAACTGTCTCGGAAGGATATGCCAAACATTTTCTCTCACAGGGCTGATCGCATAACAATATACAACGTGATAGATGTTTTGGTATCACATGAATTGGTGTCGAATCTCCTGAAGTTCATTCTATTGTACTAGACTTAAGGACCAACTGGTTTCACATATTCCTCAACTGGAAGCTCACAATCAAGGAAGAGATGTTTTGCTAGCATTCCAAGAGGGTGTAGGCTCCATCCTGGCTGAGGTTGGCAAATACAGTGAAGCTGTTCATTTGGCCAAGGCTACAGCAATAATACGGCAGGATATGCTCAAACATCAGGCAAAATTCCTCACCTTACTTGATGATAGAGGGACCTTCACCATACTCAGTCAGTGTCCTACATCAGTTAGTGAAGACCTCCGTGTTTTGGAAAGGTTTGTGGAGGTGATGTATGACAAGTCTAGTCGAGCTTTATGTGTCAATGGTGCAAGACTTGATGTATTTGTTCGCAAAAAGAGATCATTTTATGCAATTCCACCAACACTGTCTGCCCTAAAGGAACATGTAAAGCGTGCAGCCTATCAAGGTGGAATGATTTGGGGTCAGGCAACAGTAGCCTAACCAGACATTCCAAGTCTTGCTAACTGGCCCAGGAAAAAGAAAGGAGATATGTGGCAAATACACTGGACAGACCAATAGCAGCGAGCTGCCAAGAAATGACCAAGTGTTCCTACAAGAAAGACTGTGGACAGCGATGTATATGTATCCGCTCTGGTCTCACTTGCACAGCTCTGTGTGGATGCACATGCCAGCAGCTGTAAATATGGAAGAATTCTTATAACAATATCTCCCAAGGATATGAGCAAGATATAAACATGTTTATTAACGTTTAACTAAGAATCATACTCACTTATTTTTATAAAAAGAGGTTAAGGTATGTGCAGAACTGTTACTTTATGCACAAAAGACATATCTGAGGGTTCTAAAACAATTATAATAAACTAGCAGAATCGCCCATCCGGTAGTCCACGGTAGGACGCCACCCTCCGGGAGGCTCTACATTGTCTCACTGCTCAGTCCCCAAAACTTCTTCTTCCATCAATAGTTCATTAACGGTGTATGTAAGTTCCACCACGCTTTTCACTACAACGGCACAGCAAAGTATATTTTTTTAGCATTAAACTGTTATTATTTTATTGTCTAATCGTCAATACATGTAACACCACCCATCATCACTAAATATAACATCATCCATCATCACTACATATAACACCATCCATCATCACTACATATAACACCACCCATCATCACTACATATAACAACATCCATCATCACTACATATAACACCATCCATCATCACTACCACCACTACTACCACCATCATCATTACCACCACCATCAATACCACTTCTATTAACCAGTCTCTACCACCACCACTATCACCACAAACATGTCGCTATCACCATCACCATCACCACCACTACCACTGTCACTACCACCATCACTACCACTACCACTGTCACTACCACCATCACCACCACCACTACATATAACACCATCCATCATCACTACATATAACATCATCCATCATCACTACACCTAACACCATCCATCATCACTACATATAACGTCCATCCATCATCACTACATATAACATCATCCATCATCACTACATATAACACCATCCATCATCACAACATATAACACCATCCATCATCACTACATATAACACCATCCATCATCACTACATATAACACCATCCATCATCACTACATATAACACCATCCATCGCCACTACATATAACACCATCCATCATCACTACATATAACACCATCCATCATCACTACATATAACACCATCCATCATCACTACATATAACACCATCCATCATCACTACATATAACACCATCCTTCATCACTACATATAACACCATTCATCATCATATATATATACGCATATATATATATATATATATATATATATATATATATATATATATATATATATATATATATATATATATTTCATGTAAATCCACACAATGAAAACGTGGATAAGATAAATCTTGATAAAATCACGGGAAAATGGAAACAGCAGGTACCTTAGCTTTCGTCTTAATTCAAGACATCTTCAGAAACGCTCAGCGGTACTCCGTTGTTTCAACACCGATAATGACCTATCAGATATATATATATATATATATATATATATATATATATATATATATATATATATATATATAGATTGTGTTCCAGTATGCTGTAATACATACACTAGACACCTTACGTGCACAGATTGACCAATAATAAGTCATTATATGTAATAAATGCTTTTGGTTAGGCAAATTTAGCAGCCATCTTGGAAAATGGCTACCATTTTGGAATTTTTAATGTCCTTTAAGATAGATTTGATATATAAACCATATTGAATATTCATACCATGGTTGTATGATCATTTGCATGATTGTACCACTATTCCTAACAACGACAAGGTACCCAATCCTTAACTCCCGTCACCTCGTGGGTACGGATGAAAACTGGAAGAACATACACGGTTTACTGTTATGATCAATCAGTTGCCACCACTTCTGATTCCTGCATAGTTGGTGGAGGACTGACCTCTTCCCTAGTTGCACATTCTTTTAAAACCTCGATTATGTTGACCC